AAAGAGGTCTATTGAGGGTACATGACATTGCATAAGGTTATGGCTGCAGATTCTGGCAAAATAAGAAATACGTAGTACTTACTTGATAGATAAAGATCTTGAAAGTATTTTTTGAGCATCATCTTCAAGTGGAAGGACTATTTCAAGAAAAGGACTCTAAAAATGATAAAATATTTTGGGAGAACATCAGTCCCAAACCCCTATATATACCTCATTCGCAAACAGGAAGCCCAATCTCAAAGATCGAAGGAATACATAAGACTTTGTATAGGGAATATAGAATGGAGCTCCTAGAAATCACAAACCAAATACTGTATTGGACACAGAGAAGCTTTAATATTAAAGAAAGTATGTCAACTTACCGGAACTCTAAAATCGACGTGTTCTTGAGCAAAAAGAACTAAAAATGTAGAAGTTTCTTCATTTTCGTCCGCCATTATTTTTTTCATGAGCAAATCCGCTGGTCTTTGCACAGGTAGCCCGCAAGAGTAAGGGAAAGTGGCGGAATGTAATAAAAGTTTCCGAAAAAATATAATTTGAATTATATGATGAAATTACGAGAAATTATAATTAAAATTAGAAAAAAATCAATCAAAAATAGATAAAAATAAATAAATAATACCAATAAAAAGAAGTCAAGGATTTATCACATGTGCATGTCAGGATTCGAACCTGCTATCTCTACACCACCATTGGACTTGAATCCAAAGYTATAACGAGTTGCGCCACAGGACCACGCTCATTTACATAATAATAGACCACTTGACACTTTCGCCGAATAGACTACCCCAATTTGACATTATACTTTCGATAGTTGCCTAGTTAGTGCAAGGGGTTATCCATCAGTGTCTAGGGGCCGGATAGCTTCTCCCTCACTGGCTTTTAAGTTAGCGCGAAGTTAGGACCAATTATCGGGATAGCATGGAAGAGCCGAAATCTCTAACCGGAATGTAAATCGATTCGCCGCCTCAGCTTCAYAGAATGTCTCGGGGGAATCGTCCCAACCTTTTTCAAATTTTGAGGCACCGGTTCGAATCCCAAAAGGGTCTTTTTCAATTTCTCCTTTTTCTTTGTTTCTTTTTTACCTCTTTTTTTCTTTTTGTTTTGTTTTAKATTAATTTGATCGTCGTCATTGACTAATTATTTTCATGATTGACAATTCTTTTTGACTTTTTTCTTTAGTCTTCCAATTATTTCTTTTTAAAAGTTATCCTATTTCTTTACCGAAAACTCCTAATTGCACACTATGAAGTTTTTATTCTCGAAACCAAACCAACGGCTAAAAACATCTCGAAAATACTCCCAAAACACTTATCGTATGAAGAACTAAGTGAATTTCAAGAACGTTATGTACCTGTCTTGAACCAACGGGGGGAGTGCGAGCATACCTAGAGTCTATTGACATTTTTCATATTTTTTTGTCAATAGTCCCCATTTTGGGGGTATTTAATATTTTCATATTTGTCAAATACCCCCCATAATCCATGTTGCAGTGGCGGATCCAGGATTTTTCAAAGGGGGTTCCACTTTGTTTTCGCATTTTCCTAAAACGAACTTTTTTTACTTTGCCTCTCGAACTGTAGCAAATGTAACGTGAATATAATGTAGTTATAGATAGCGCATACATTGCAGCGTGGTAAAAGTGTAATATAAAGCCGCTTTACCTATTGTAAGAAGCCAGCTTCATCATTCCCGATGCAATTTTGTACGATGCCAGAAAGTTGCTTGTTAAAGCTACCACGTGCCCTGGGGGTCACCCTCATCTTTTACGCTCAACAGTGCAACGCCCAGTTTACCCTCATTTTTTCTTAAGTCGCCTTAATTTGCGGCGACTTTCAGGCCCGAAGTAGGCCTTTTTATGATGATAACCGCTCTATTCTTGTCAGACCAACACTCATTCCATGATAACTGCGCACTGATTATCAGTACCTATTAACTCCACGAGAGCGTATTCTCGGAGAGGGAGGCATTCTGACTTGCAGTGAGATGCATTTGAACTCAACTTGTATAGAGCATGCAAGAAGCATTATCAAACGTTATGACATACACTTCGAAAGTGACCGTCGCATATCAGTGATCTCAAAGGGATCATAAAGTATCATAAATGTATGGATTTGTACCACACGCGATTGGTGCATTCACACCGTCCAACAACCCGACATCACTTCCCGCAAGCGNCTACTCTAATGATTATATCATTCAAACAATAATTTTAGTCACTTACTGATTAGGCTGTGGAGTTCTTTGGAATAACGTGACTTTTCTGGGAAAGAAAACTGTGCACTTTGGATTGCCAAAGTACTTTCACCAAAAGGCAAAGTAAAAAAACATAATTTGTACAGAAGACATCCAAGAGCCTAACAAAAATACAAAGCAAATTAGAAAAAATATTTAAATAGATCATGTATGTAATAACTATTAGTTTATCATTACTCGCTCTAATTGACAGCAGTTTACCCTTTATTGGGATTCTGATTGAACTACATCATTGTAGCCTGAGTTTAATCACCTTTTTTTAAACAATGAGGTCTAACTGTCTACTTAAATTAATTGCTTTTCTCAAAATTAAGAAAATATTTTCATTCCAACATAAATCCTTGATACAAAGACCCCCCTTTTTGAGTGATTGGTGACGAAAAGCAAAATCTATTCAACAAGCACCATTCAGCCTCCCCCTGATGCACTGATGTAGTGTTCTACGAACCACATCAACACTAGTCAGCGAGGGGAGGGTAAAGCACACATATTKCAAAATGTTAAAATTAGCATTAATTTAGCAAAGGTAGTATGCCAAAGTATTTTGTGTCAAAGTATCAATTATGTACTTCATACCCATATGTCTGRCTTGGTTGATATTGTTTTGCCACTGTACAAGTCCACCATTTCTGGTGCTCTGTAAGATAGTGTTGTGTATTTTTGAATTTCTTCCTCTACTTTAGTAGGGCCTTCATCCTGTCAAAGAATGCATCATAACTAAGCTACAGATACTTTTGTATTATATGGTCGCAAGGTACTAAATTAGCCATACTGGATGGCAAAAGAAATAAACAACCTCAAAAGCAAAGGGAACGCAGCCCTTCAAACTTGACTTTTCTTTGTTTTGAAAACCACAGTGAGAATTTTGCAGTTCCAGTTTGGTGGATCTACAGTATCATGTGACCATTAAATGCAAAGGTCAAAATAGATGCTTGATATTGTCTGTTGCCAGCTTTTTATGAAATCACCGTTTGTGCTTTGATTAGTTTTGAATATCTC